AAATAATAATAACCACAGGAAAAAACAACTACACAAAGATGGCATCATACACTTAAATATAAGAGTTTGTAAGACAAAAAAAAAGAACATAAATCGGTCAGATAAATAGCTTATAAATAGGTTTAGCGAGAAAAACCTTTCGTATACTGTCAAAAATATAAGACAGTTTGTCAACGACAACAACAATTTTACCCTTGATTTTTTTGAACAGCATGTTTTTGTATGAAATCTTCCTGTTTATGGGTAAAATTCATAACACTCCCTTTGTTCCATTAACCATTGACTTTTGGCACATTTTTTCTTACCATCTGCTGTTATCAGCAAGTCAGATGCAGATTTGGATCAATTGAAAAAATGCGGAACAAAACGTTTGGGGAGCACAAGAAAAGAAAAAAAATTGATGATGAGCAACTTGATTATGCACCCTATAAGCCGTCACTCATCTGAAGGCCACTATCCGTTGTGTCATTACCGTCTTCTTCAACACCCAACTTTTTGACACGATGTTCTTCGGTTTCTGTGGCTGAACCATCCTCATCTACAGAAACCAGTAGCAGATTATCGCTCATATCTGGTACACGTACTGTCATATCAGCAATTAGTGCCGTCAAATCTTCACTGCCTATTGACAGCGCATCACCGCTTGCAACCGAATGACGTGAACCCATAGCGCCAACCTAAAATCACTGATTGAACACAAAAACCACAAAAGGAAAAAAAACGATAGAAATAAAAACGAATAAATGAAAAGAATAAGATAAGACTAACTAAAATAATTCTTTTCGCAAGTACTATAAAATATCAAATAAAAAAGTATAAAATAGAGAAAAAAGATACATCGTCAACACCAACCGATTCGTCATCCATATCACATACGGAACTACCTCGAAGTTGCGCATGAGTCCACTTTTCAGCCTTCTTAAACAATTTCAGTTAAAAAATTTAAATAAAGAAGATTGAACAAATGCTGCTACAGATTCAGAAGCATTAAAAGTGGCGAATTTGATAAGAAAGACAGAGACTATCACAATATCAATCAGAGGCAACTCAGAGGTTACCTTAAGCTCTAACTGTGCTATTGTTTGCTTCAAATCTGCAATATGCTGCATTGCTTCACTGTATTTTAACCGTTGCATGACAGACTGTTCCTTCAACTCACTCTCTGCCTCCATAGCTTTTCTCCTTTCTTCTTTCACTACTTCAACCATTTCCTTTTCTTTCTGTTAAATAAACAGTATTAAATATAGAAGCAAAGAACTAACAAAAAACACTGCTGGAGTCACAGTTTAAAAAATTTACTTGCATAACAGAATCTCGTTCTTCCCTCATTCTCTTCAGTTCTTCGTCTTGGCGTTTCAACTGATTTGTACATACATGATTCTGCAAGACAATGCACTTGACTAGATATTAAAAAGAGTGAAAGAATATGCTCAATAATCTACTAAACGTTTAGCCGATTTTACCGAAAGCAAAAAAAAAAATCAGTGTATATATAGACAGATATTATATATTCAGATCCATATGTAAAATTTACACACGTTCAAAGAGTACAGACAGACCCCTTAATACTTTTATAATTCTAATCCTCATAAAAAATTGTCTAAAACTAAAGATGCTGAATCAAATTTGATAATATTTATAAATAATTACTGAAGCTTAGTAGTCTGCTAGCCCTTCGCAATAAACACATTTCAGAGAATATCATATTAAAAACCCCGTTTATTATGATCATCTCCAGCAAAAAAAAAAAAAAAAAAAAAAAAAAAA